TTGGAGCAAACCATGAGATCGACTATATACTGCAATAACACTGATCTGTGTTTAAAATGAAACTGAACCAAATCTGAATGCAATACTTGTGAAAAATAAGCTGAGCTTCCAGTAAACCCTTGTGGGAGAACTCTCCACGTGTATTATTGATTTTTCCAGGTGAAGGCAAATAAGTATTGACTATCCTGGTGAACAGGGATACTAAAGAAAGCACTACAAAGATCTACAACTGTAAAGCATACAGCATCAGTTGGTACCTGGGCTAAGAGTAAATGAGGCTTAGGAACTACAGGGAATCTAGATATTGTAATCTCAGTTATGGTTCTTAAATCTTGTACAAATCTCCACCCTTTATTACTTGGTTTTTTTTTACTGGAAAAATAAGAGTGTTGCAAGGACTAGTGCATGGTATAATTAGACCTTGCCAAAGGAAATCTTGACTAATAGGTTCTAACCCTGCTACAGCTTCTGGCTTTAGTGGATATTGAGCTATTCTAGGCAAAGGTTTAGAAGTATCTATTTGCACCTGAATAGGTTCAGCTGACAAGACTTTTCCTACATTTGTGGTTGTCTTTGCCCAAAATTCGGTGAGTATTTGCTCTAATTCCTTTTCTCCTCCCTGAACCTCTTCTATAGTTTCTTCTGCTTCCATTAACCCTTGAATAAAGCACAAGGTGTCTTCTACTTTTCTCTCAGTAATTGAATCATCTAATGTAGGGAAGTTTAATATAATTTCTCCACTATCAGTAAACTGGATATGGCATCATCATTTGCATAATAAACCTTGCCCTAACAGATTAGCAGGGTATCATTGCTGAGAAGAAATGTATGTAAATCGTCAATGGGTCGTAAAGATATTGGTACTGGTTCTGAATGAGGCAAAATTTGTTCTTCATTTGAAACTCCCATGATTTTAGAAGTTTTGTTGCTCTGAGGGAGGGGGTCTCGTAAACAGGTGGGATTTATTGTGGACATGGTGGCCCCAGTGTCATTCAGGAAGGTACAAGGCTCCCCATTTACTTGGAGCATTGTCTCTCCCTGTTGAGAGGAACCATAGCGAAAACCCCTAAATCCTCGGAGCACTGTCACTGTGGTGGTAACAGAGATGCTGAGGGAGTAATCCTCTCCTTATTCTTAAGTTTTAAACAATCTCTCTTAAAGTGGCCAGGCTTCTTACATTAGTTACAAGTTAGCTTGGTTTTGAGCTTATTTGTTTGAAGCTGTCCCTTGGCCGGGATTCTATCCTCACTGCCTTTACTTTGTAGCTGTTATAACTGCAAAGCCATCAATTTCTTTTTCTGCTCCTTACTTTGTAGCTGTTATAACTGCAAAGCCATCAATTTCTTTTTCTGCTCTCTAGTTTTTAACTCGCTCTATTTTTATCTTCTTCAGTTTGAGACAATTTGTAAGCCACTGTAGCCAATTCTGAATGATTTACATTTTCCCAATTTAAATGATGTCTTTTTACCAAAGCTGCTTATTCCAGCAATAGGCCCCCTAAAAACATACAGTTGAATATAGGCCAGTGCTCTTTTATAATTGTCTTTAAACCTGAATGTTCTTCAAATAATTTGGAGAAACGATCCATAAAAGCATATACATTTTCTCCCTTTTCTTGTGTACAAGCCTGGATTTTTGCCCAATCAACCTTTTTTGGAAAAACTTTCGGAAAGGCATTTATCAATTCCTTAACCAAACTTGAACTTCATCTCTCAGTCCTTTCCCTGTAACCCCAGATTTGGAGATTAAACTTGCCTCTGGGTCCTTCCACTTAGCTTCAGCCATCCATCTAGCTGCTTCTCCTGAACCTAGTAGCATATGTAACAAATTATACAAATCCGAAGGACCTGGTTTATAGGCACTAGTCAAGATGATAAATACATGTAAACATTTCTGAGGATTTTCACGAGGGTCAGGAAAGTCTTTTATAATTGCTGAGTTCGGATTGAGACCAGGGGTTTACCGTTACTTGCACCGGTCCACCTGCTAATTTAGGCTGTCTAACTACCAAAGGCATTGAAGGAGATGGAGACTCAGTTTTCAGTGAATCACTGGAATGAAAAGGTAATTTGGCTAAAAGAGAGCTAGAAGTCAAATCATGATATAAAGAAGCAGGTTTTTCCTTTTCCCTAGTTTCTTCCTCTGAGTCTTTTCCATCTTCTTTAATACCCAAAGGAGTTCTATTCATTAAAGAATCAAGTAACGCTACCTGACTTTTCTGCAATGCCAAGATCTGTTTTGATTGCTTAGCAATGTTTTTCTGAACCAAAGCAAAAGTATTCACTTGCCGCCTTCTCAAGGATTCAAAACACCAATTAAAAAATATTTCCCAGGGATTCTGCTTTATTTTTGATCCCCTTGCTTCTAATTTACCTTTCGAAAAGACTAATCTGGCCAATTCAAAAGTCCCCCACTTAGGCCATTGTAACAAATCCTTTTCTCAGCGACCGCCCTAATGGCTTTTACTGGTGGACCCGTGCCTGAATTTTTGTGGCTTATAGTGGCTCACAGCTCTTTGAAAATAGAATTACCTCTTTAATGTTTCAACGTCCGAATCCAGACCTAAAGTGCAGTTCACCTAAAGAGTTACTAAATGTCACTCTTAACCAAATGATCAAGCAAAAATCTAAGAAAGATTCTCCTTAATCAACCAACTGGTTTTTCAAACAAATGTGCTGAACAAAACTTAAGAAAACATTAGAAAGAGAACAAAAAAAGAATAAGCAAAGGCTTATTTTCCGAGAGCACACATCCTGTTGGTGTCGAAGGAACGTGGAATGGGAACACGTGGGTCCAGAAGATAGGACCGCTCTTTGCCGGCTTCTGCTCTGCAGTCCAGGTCTCCTCAAGGCCCAGTCAATTCGTAGCTTCAGATATCCTTGACGACTATACCATTAACTGTTGCAGGGAAAAAAATATCACAAAGTTTAGTAAAGGACAAAGAAAGTTTTACTCGGCATATATTCAAAAGGGCAAAAGTGGGAAGCAGACAAGCATGCTGCCAGAGCTAAGCTCTGCCTGAGGAAGGTTACAGAATCATCAGTATATATTAACATCACAGAATGGGTAGACTCATTGAAAGCTTTACCTTTTCACAGATAGGCTAGAAATTGTGATCTTACATTTTGAATCATCTTTCTTAACAATTATTGATACAGGTTTCAGTAGTGACAGTCAGGAGGGTCTTCATTGGACCAACACATTTCTATTCACTGGATGCTAATAGAAAAAGATAAGAGTAGAAAGTCTTTTGTGTTTTGTTTGATTGGCTTTATGTGAAAGGTTCCCTAAAAGATATTTTCTTCCCTAAAAGATAATTTCCAAGATTATCCCATCTATTATCTTTATCTCAGGGCCCAGATGATGTGTCCTTGTGAGTCCTTGTGGACCCAGCTTCAGCTGGGTCACATTCTCTATGCTCAAGGACAGAAAATGATTCCTATATTATTTTCTAAATCAGATCTAAGAAGAATGAAATCCTTGACAACTTCAATTTTTTTTGCCATTTATCATGATGTTGTTTATCAGCCCAGTTTTAAGGATTTTCCTTCTCTTTACTAGGTTTCCCTACATGGTGCTGCATCACTTGGCTTGCCTAGCCATCTGTTATGGACTGAATTCTGTCCCCCCAAAATGTGTATCAGCTTGGCTATGCCATGATTCCCAGTATTGTGTGATTGTCCACCATTTTGTTATCTGATGTGATTTTCCTATGTGTTGTAAATCCTACCTCTATGATGTTAATGAGGCAGGATTAAAGACAGTTATGTTAATGAGGCAGAACTCAATCTACAAGATTAGATTGTGTTTTAAGTCAATCTCTTTTGAGATATAAAAGAGAGAAGTGAGCAGAGAGATAGGGGGACCTCATACTATCAAGAAAGTAGTGCCAGGAGAAGAAGGCATCCTTTGGACCTGGTGTCCCTGTGCTGAGAAGTTTCTCCCCCGAGGAAGATTGATGACAAGGACCTTCCTCCAGAGCCAACAGAGAAAGAAAGCTGGAGCTGATGCCCTGAATTTGGACTTCTAGCCTTCTAGACTGTGAGAGGATAAACTTCTCTTTGTTAAAGCCACGCGCTTGTGGTATTTCTGTTATAGCAGCACTAGCTAAGACACCATCCTTATCTCCAGATAAATTTGATGAGTTATACTTAAAGGGTCACTCAGGACCATTGCAAGGAGTGCTTCGTTATAAAGCCACAGGCAGCACCAGCTTCCAAGCAGAACTAGGCCAGCCTGTGTTTGAGGCCCAAGCGGATGTGAAAACTTGGCTTTTCCAGGATACCTATGTTCTGTTGTACATAAGGTTGCTGTAAGTCGGAGACAACTCCATGGAAGCTAAGAACATGGTAGCGTCTAATATTGCACAGAAAGTCCTTGCTGACCACTGAACTCTGTGCTGGAGAGGAAGTGCCCAAAAGCAAAGGGAAAGAAAAGGACCATGAGGCAGCGAGGAGTGGGAGCTGGACACCTATGAGCCAGAACCAGTCTCAAAGGAGGTTGATGCCCCACCTCCCAGTCTGGGCACCAGGCAAGGCCGGCAGAACTTAACAGACGAGCCGTTCCACCCTCAGAGAGGTGCACACAGGGGTCTGAAGAGGCTTCATGAAGACCATCGAGTTTCTGCTCTCGCCTGTGGTGGGACAGCCACGACGTCCAATTCACCAACCCTCTTCATTTCAGGGCTTGTAGCCCCCTCCCCTCCACTAGCATGCTGTGCCCTCATTGGCTGGACAGCGATGGGCGGGCACAAGCGCATGCGCTTTGTAAGGTGCGGAGTGAGAGGGGAGGGGCACTAGCGAGCTCTTCAAGAGGCGGCCTTGGCTGCAGCTTGTGTGAGTGGCGCTGATTCGTGGTTGGGCTGCGCAGAGGCTGAGGCGGAGAGGAAGGTGAGGCCTCTGAGTGGCTACTGGGATAGAAGAGCGACCAGGAGGCGAGGTGTCAACCGAAGCAGGCCTCGTGTCTAGTGTTGGAGCTTAGGCCTCCCTGACGGCGGAATCATGCTCCGGCTTATTTCCAGGGCTCTGGCCTTCTGCAGGAGGAAAGACTCCTCACAGAAGGAGAAGATGCAGCCGCTGAGGCTCTTGGAGGGTAAGCACTGCATCCTCCCCATCCTCCTCCCTCAACTCCTATCCTCCCCCCTCTACTCCCATTCTCCTCCTCTCCCCTGACCCCCCATCTCTGTCAAGGGCCTAGGATACCCACTCCTGGTCCGGGCCTGGGGGCTCGGAAGAGCAGCGCCATCTTGTGATGGGGGAGGGGGCAAAGGAGTGGCGGCATCTTATGGTGGTGGTGACGGGGCATCCTGAGTCCCTGAGTCCCTGAGTCCCTGAGTCCCCGAGTCCTCAAGTCCTCAAGAGCTGAATCTTCATCGACCTACACCCCAAACTCTCCTGTCCAAAGTGACCATGGTGTCAGTAAAGAGATCCCCTGGGGGACTGTGCCCCATGCGAGCATTTCCCCCAGATGCCTTTGGAGCTTCCTGTGTGCAGATGCCAAGTGGTCGTACAACTATTTCCCAGAGTAGTTAATCTCCCCGATTTGAGGGTGAATTTGATTTTGTTTCTGAAATGGGTTTATCTTTCGAAGCCAAATGGAGGAGTCATATCTGTCGCCTGGCCTCCTTTAACTTACTTACCTTTGTATTGTACAACCTGTTGTAAAGCCTGGCACCGAGTGCATGCTCAGTGGGTACTTGTGGAGGCATGCAATTAGTTGGTGGGAGTTAATCGAAAGGTGACAAGGTTTTTTTGGGGGGGATTTCATTCCTACTCTGAACTGCAATAATATCTAATGTCTGTTGAGTGCTTGTATGTGCCATTAAAATGCCATTTAACCCAAAAAATCCAATGAGTGAAGTAGTAGTCCATTTTGCAGCACAGTCAGGGAGACACAGAGTGAATGAGGACACAGAGCTGGAATGTCGTGGATCAGAATTCACACCCAGGCAGTCAGGCCCAGCATCCACGTTCCTAACCTCTGTGCTCCCCAGTCTCTGGAGGCAGTTCCTTCCAGGAGAGTCACAGTGTCTTCAGGATGGTACTTAGGAAAAGGTGCCTCTTTGGTCAATACTATTCCCTCAGCAGAGGCACCCATCTTCCTGGTGCTTGAGTTTGAGTTTAGAACCCCTCCTGAGGTGGCTGAGTCTTAGCTGAGTCCACTAATTGGCCCTACTCTTACCAACGAGGTCACACGGTGCAGTCTTGGACAGGTTTTCATGTATTCCAGTGGCAGTTGTCTTCCCTGTCACTTTCACTTTCTTCTATGATATGATTTCAGCTAACAAATTTAACCCTTTTTTTCCCAATTTGTCAGGATTTTCTTGGCTTCTTATTCTTTAATGTAATCAAGATTTCTACCAGCCATCCTATTAATTCACCCATGTCTTTGGGGAGGTGGCTGTGATGTTGAGGTTCAGAGTGTGGTCTCTGCAGGCAGACTGCCTGGGTTTGGATCCCAAACTATTGCTTATTAGCAGCTGCCTAGTTCGGAAAACAAAACAAAACAAAATTCCAGGTGATTCAGATGTACTTTTGGGCTAGACTTAAATCCCCAAATCTCTTTTAGTGCTTTGCTTGGTGAGATGTTTACAAATCTCTGGATACTGCTGCTGATGCTGTTGGTGATATTGACGACCTTATATAACAATAATGGATACTTAAAGACTCTGTAAATGCAGACACAATGGTAACAACTAACATTTAAGCTCTAACCTGTGTGAGGGACAGTTTTAAGCAGTTTACACGGATATGTCAGTTAATACAACAGCCCTATTAGGCAGACACTATCATTGTCCTGGTATTACAGATGAAAAGTGCATCAGAGACGGTAAGAAATGTACCCAGGGTGCACAGATGGTAAGTTAAGGAGCCATGGTTCAAACGCAGGCAGTCTGGCTCCAGACTCAGTGCTCTTAACCACAGCGCTCCATTGCCTGTGGCGTGTAGCCTCCATGCTATACAGAGGAGAGATGGAACCGGGTTTTTGCTTTTGGGATTAATTAATGTAACCTTTTGTTTACCCATTTCATAGGTGACACCAAGTTGAAAACTGTGCAGGGAGTTGTGACAAGGTTCTGTGATGGTTATGGCCTGATTAACGAGTTAATCTACTTTACTAATGATGTCGTGACTGGCAATGTGCTTCTGAAAGTTGGACAAAAAGTTACTGCAGTTGTGGAAGAAGATGAAACATCTCATGGCTCAAAAGCAATCAAAGTAAGATTTGCAAGAGTTTGGGGACAGTCTTGCTTCTGTTTATTCCTCCTCTCTGGTGTGACTTGATATACTGGATGTAGAGTGGAATTTGAAGTCCCATTTGCCTGATTGTGTGGGACTTTTCGTCTTATCTTTGTAGTGGTTTCTGTTTATAAAAGCATAAATTTTATATCTATTCTTCAGCATTTAAAAAATCTGGTTAACAATGATAATTATTGGATTCTATACTTTCCTGTGGAGCCCTGGTGGCGTGGTGGTTAAGCATGTGGCTGCTAACCAAAAGGTTGGCAGTTCAAATCCCCCAGCCACTCCTTAGAAACCCTATGGGGCAGTTCTACTCTGTCCTATATGGTCGTCATGAGTCGAAATCGACTCCGACGGCAATGGCAATGGGTATACTTTCCTGCAATTCCCTTTTTTTCTACCTAAATAACAGATTTCTATACTATGTATTTGTAAAAGTGAAATTGCTAGGTGAAAGCACATGCATTTTAAACATTTTTAAAAACAATTTTATTAAGGTATAATTTACATACCTTACCATTTTAAGGGTACCATTGAATGAAATTTTTAGTAAATTTAGAGTTGTGCAACCATCACCTCAGTCCAGGTTTTTACCATTTTAATGGGTACTATCAAATTTTCAACTCCGTTGTACTAATTTACAGTCTCAACAGCAGGATGTGAGACTGCCTGTTTGCCAGTATTGACAAGGATGGAGATATTATCAGTCTCTCAAATCTGAGAAGTGAAAAGCAGTCTCATCATTTAATTTTTTTTATTGTACTTCAAGTGAAGGCTTACAGAACAAATAGTTTCTCATGAAACAGTAGTACGCATATTGTTTTATGACATTGGTTAACAACCCCATCATCATTTAATTTTGCATTTCTTTAAGTGTTAGTGAGGACAACTTGTGTTTTCTTAGAGCTATTTACATATTAGGGACATTAGAGGGATTTGTATATTAAGAAAATTATAGCTTTCTTAGGAAAATTATATGAATGTTTTGCAAACATTTCCTCCAAGACTGTCTTCTGACTTTGTTTTATGGAGTTTAATTTTTTATACTGTAATGTGTCAGTCTTGTCCGTGTGGCTTTTGGGTTTATAAGAATCCTTTTATTCCACTTCATAATTCACACAAATATTGACTGAGATTTTCCTCCAAAAATTATTTATTCACATCTAACTGGTTGCCATGATTCCAAGGCAACTGGTTTTTTAATCATTCTGTCTTGTCTGGAATTGATTTAGATGTAGAGACTGAGAGAAGGATCCAGATATTGTTTTGCTAATGGCTACCTTGTTGTCCTCATACCTTTAACTGAATAATCCTGTTTTCCCTACTGAGTTGAAATGCCACATCTATCACAAACTACATTTCCATAGTCATTTGAAACTGCCAGGACATCCTATTGTGTACATTTGATTGTGCTATCTTACCCTGGTGGTATGATCAAATAGTTTGGATTACTGAAGCCATGTTTGGTAGCCTGGTTTCCCTGTCAAAACTTCTGGGGTTTTTTTGTTGTTGTTCTTCGTTTGTCTGTTTTGTTTTTTGAATTTTCCTGGCCATTCCCACATGTTGGTTTTCCTGTATAAATTTAAAAATTATTCTGTTTAATCCCTCCATCCACAACAAGAACAACAACAACAAAGCCTGTTGGGATTTTTTATTAGGATGACATTTAGTTTATAGATTTAATTTAGGGAAAACTGACATATTGATAATAGTCTGTCCAACAAAGCATCTCTCTCCTCTTATGTGCTATTAAATGATTTTATAGTTTTCTTCAAATAGGTTCTGTACAGTTTTTGCTAAGTTTATTTCCAAGATTTTATACATATTTTTGCTCCATTGTCAATATATGTTTTATTTAAATTATTTATTTAACTTTTTAAAGTAAAGTTTTAATTTTAAAATAGTTGTAAATCATAATATATTTTTACATTATGTCAATTAATTTTTTCTTTTTATATAGTACACCTCCTCACTGACTGTCTCTTTATCTGAAATTTCGCATTTATGACAATAGTAAAAAATCTACTATCTGACTACTTCGTGCATTAATGAAGTACATTTGGCAGTAATGAATGCTGAGGTGTGAGGTGAGAGTAATGCTGGCTATAATAGTTAAGGTTATGTGTCAACTTGGCTGGGCCATGATTCTCATTGGTTTGGCGGTTATGTAATGATGTAATTTGACATTTGTGTAATGATGTAATTTGGCAGTTATGCAATGATGTAATTTAGCAGTTATGTAATGATGTAGTCTTCCTCCATTTTGTGATCTGATGTGGTCATCCTCCATTTTCACATAACACTGATTTAGCATAATGACCTAGTCTTTGGAACCTAACCATGTCAATAAGTGAGGAGAGGGTGTATTGATTTTTGTTGTATAATTTGCTACATGGAAAACTTCCCGAACACCTCTTGCTGCATGTTTTACTGGTTGAGGTGTACTTTATTATCATTCTTTAGAAAGCAACTGCCAACCAATACTTGATATCAACTTTAATTATGAAAAAGTTTAAATAAACATAAAAATCACATGTAAGTCAAACTCTGTTGTTGTTAGGTGCTGTTGAGTTGTTTTCAACTCATAGCGACCCTATGTACAACAGAACAAAACACTGTACAGTCTTGTGCCATCCTCACAATTGTTGCTATGCTTGAGCCCATCGTTGCAGCCACCATGTCAATCCATCTCATTGAGGGTCTTCCTCTTTTTTGCTGACTCTCTGCTTTACCAAGCATTGTGTCTTTCTCCAGGAACTAGTCCCTCCTGATAAGATGTCCAAAGTACATGAGATGAAGTCTCACCATCCTTGCTTCTAAGGAGCATTCTGGCTGTACTTCTTCCAAGACAGATTTGTTTGTTCTTCTGGCAGTCCATGGCATATTCAATATTCTTCGCCAACACTATAACTCAAAGGCATCAATTCTTCTTCAGTCTTCCTTAATCATTGTCTAGCTTTCACATACAAATCAAACTCTAGGAGGATATAAAATGAAATGTAAAAAAATATCCCCTCATGCCATCCATCACAACGTTCATTTCTCAGGCATGCACGGTACTTTTCATGGTTTCTGTTTTTAGCTCTTCTCGTGGGCACCTGAATAACGTGTATAATATGCTTGTAACTTGTCTTGACTTAACAGTATTGGCCAGTATTTGTTGACTTTGCATCATGAAAAATGTGGAATTTGGCTCAATTGTGTTACCCACTTCTCTTTTCCCTCTATCAGTATGATATTAATCTATGCAAACATATACACAAACATATTCTTTTTAGTTCTTATATGTCACCTTGGAAACGGCAAAGTCAACAAAGACAGATAATTACTTGATATGTATAATAAGAAATTCTGTGATTTCAGGATCTTAAAAGGGGATCTTATCATCTAGAAAATACTGTATGTTTATTCAACACTGATTGGCCCTTTCAGACAAAATCTTTTCAATTCTTAAGACTCTCATCAATTTCAAGGCATGCTATCAGTTTAATAATAGGAATTTAAAATATACATAACTTATGGTTGTCATCTTGATTTTGGAAGTGTTAAAATGTGAAAAAATGGGGATCTGAAAATACAAGACTGGTTATAGCCCTTATCTGGTTCTTGTTTTTTTGGAATGCATGATACTGACAGTTGCTTTGAAATGTTTGTGTTAGTTATGGTAAAGAAGTACTCCTGTGTACTACATTTCAGGGTTTTAAAAAACCAAGGATGATGAATTTTTCAAATATTTTTTCAGTAACCTCAAGATCTTGATACAGTTTTTTTCCCTTTCAATATGGAGAAAAATATGAGTCTATTTCCTAATATTAAGCCATTTTTACTTTATGGGAATGATCCCCCTTTGGTTTTGGTTATGACATATAATTCTTGTAATATACTGCTGGATTTGTTTGCTTTTTATTTAGTTTTTCATTTTCACAAACGGAATTGAAAACTTTTACATTTTCATAAACAGAATTGATCTATAGTTGTCTCTATGCTAGTTTTATCAGATTTTGGAGTCACTGTAATGATGGATATATGTAAAAAATCTGGAGCTTTCATTCATTTTTTATATTTACGTACATTTTAACATTACAATTGTATATTCCATGAAGATTATAAAGAAGTCATCTATCAAGCCATCATCAAGCCATCTTAGTCCTGGTACTCTTTGGGAAGTGAGGTCGGGTGGATGGAGTAGCTTTTCACTTACTTACAAAGCTAGTAGTTTGCTGTTTTTTTTTTTTCTTGTTGTTTATTTTAACAACAAAACCTGCAAATCTACCTACATCTTCATCTGTCCTTCCACCTCTCATCTGTTAGAATGGAAAAAGTGTCCCTCCTCCTAAGGCCAACCCTCTGCACCTGTGTTTTAGATCCTATTCTCCTTGCCTTCTCAGAACCCTTTCTCACTCTACTGAGTCTCCTCTCTTCCTATCTCTGTCAACTGTCCTTCTTTAAGGGCCAGTATCCATCAGCACTTTGTTGTTGTTGTCATTAGGTGCTGTCGAGTCAGTTCTGACTCATAGCGACCCTATGTACAACAGAACAAAATACTGCCCAGTCCTACACTATCCACGCAATTGTTATGCTTGAGCCGATTGTTGCAGCCACTGTGTCAGTCCATCTCCTTGAGAGTCTTCCTCTTTTTCACTGACCCTCTCTACTTTACCAAGCATGGTGTCCTTCTCCAGGAACTGGTCTCTCCCGATAACATGTCCAAAGTATGAGAGACATAATCTCGCTATCCTTGCTTCTTAGGAGCATTCTGGCTGTACTTCTTCCAAGACTGATTTGTTCATTCCTCTGGTAGTCCATGGTATATTCAATATTCTTCGCCAGCACCATAATTCAAAGGCATCAATTCTTTATTCATTGCCCAGCTTTCACGTGCATATAAGGTGATTGAAAGCACTGTGGCTTGGGTCAGGGGCACCTTAGTCCTCAAAGTTACATCTTTGCTATTTAACACTTTAAAGAGTTCTTTT